ACTTCTCAGTGACCTTCCCAGTCCTTCAAATTTGAGTCCTTGATTTTTCTAAGAGCAATGCTTATTTAGGTCTTTGCCTTTCCTTTTGCACACTGCAGACTTATCCAGCGTGACTACCTACTGCACTCAGAGGCTTTCTTAAAAAGAAAATGAAAATGTACTTACGCTGCTGGGGTATAAGAGAGGCAGAGGAAGCAGCAGAAGTGGAATGAGAACAACAAGCAAGAGATTTCTGGATCGGAGAACCTCCTTCATCATTGCCATACTCTTTTACTTTCTGGTGGGTTTCTTCTCCTTTGATTTCTTCTCCGGTTCCTCAAATACTCCAACTTCCACTCCACGTTTTCCTTCACCTGTGCCTGGATTTCCCTTAAAGGTTCCTCACTGTCTCATTTCCTATCCCCACCCAGTCACCTAAAATAGCTTTCTTAATTTGTTTATTCTTCAGTCTGTTGTTTTGAAAAGAAACCTTAATGATTTTTCAATTAAAAAGACATTCAGTTTAAGTAGGGGTCACCAGCACATCCAAATTATAATCACACCATAACTTGCAGAGGTTTGCAAGTTGGAGCATAGTGATCTTTTGACAATTTTTCTTTTTAATTCAGAATCACAGGTGTAGCTGTGTTTCATTCTTATCCCCATGTTTTGGAAGGCTTTTTTCTTCCATCTTCCAGCAATGTAATTCCTGTTTTCATTAATTGGATGAAATATGTTTCAGGCTGCTTCTTTTCCTCCTGCTTGATAGTCTGAATGTCTCAAATACAGGTTTCTTTTCTGCTGGAAAATTATTAAAACCAAAAACCTATTGTTCAGTGCACAGAAACAAACTTGCAGGTATTCCTTCTTAAAAAAACCAACAACCAAACAAGCAAAAAATCCCCCCAAAATTAAATGATCTGCAGCTCCTCCAGATTTTGTCTCTTTGCTATATTTTCCGCTTCTACTTTGTATCTACCTTTACCCTACTTTTGCCCTGAGCTTGGAATTCACAGGGTGGCAATTCCAACACAGATTATACTTGGTCTCAAGATAAAAAACTTGTTAAAAAGCTTCATGCAACTCTAATTCACCAATGAGGACCGTGGCAGTAGTAGTGGCTCCACCCATTATCCAAAACCCATTCAGAACATTTGAGAAAATCAGCAGCCTCCTCTTTCTGCCACGCACACGAATGGACAAAAAGACCTTTTTTAGTTGCTGAACAGCCTGTGATTGTTTCAGTACTGATCATAAATAAATAATCATTATTTTCTAAACAGTGTCTTTTGCCTTTCATGTTCCTTCCATCCCGATCCATGGACATCACTTATTCATGAGGCATGGACTGATCTTTGTACAGATTCATGTACCGTTGGTAGCAGTAAGATTCAGTCTCAAATTGACAATTTTTAGGCTTTCTACTGTAGTCTTCTAGTGGAGAAACTTTTCTACAGCTCTGCTGTTATTAAAGCTTTTTGTGGGGCAGAAAGTACTGGAGATTTAGGACTGAATCCATTGGCTGGTAGCATGCACAGCTTGTAGACGGACATCCATTTGGTCTTTACCTTATAGGAAGCCATACACCTGGGATTTTCTATGCTCCCAAATCTTGCTTGCCTATCATCTCCCCACACCCTGCTAGTCAGATGCACACTGAGCTCCCCAGACTACACACGGATGCTTCTGTGACACTGAGTCCTGGAGAACTGGCAAAGGCAGACCTGCAGAGGAGTTTGACGTGCGGGGTGAATTCTTTCTGAAATTAGTAATTGTATCTGAGACTGTGCAACATTTCTATACCTTGAGACTTCCATCAAGCAACAGAACCTTGAGACCCTTCAGGCAAATTTAGCAATTAGTTCTGGAAGCAAAAATATAGTTAAGGCGAACAGTTTGGGTTGGCCAATGCAGCCAGGGAATTTATATCTGTTTTGCCAGCTGTTTCAGAGAAACTAAAGCAATGTCTAAAATGCTCAAACAATTAAAAAAAAATATTTCATTTCAAATGAAAAAAATTTCTATGTTTTATTTGACTTTTTTTATGATCTGTAAGGTCAAAGGGTGAATAAAAGGTGCCATTTAGAGGCAATGGCTCTTGAGCCTGTGAGAGAAGGACTGTCTGTAAACATGACTCAGTCTGAAGTGATAAGATGCAAACTGAGCTAGAGAGCAGGCAACCTGTGCCTGCATCTTAAGCAATACTGAGGGAGGGAAGCTGCTCTAAGTCCAAAGAGCTGCTCCTTCCCACCTGAATTCTGGAAAAAAGAGGCACTCTTGTTCCTATTTATTACCTCCTCCTGCCAGTCAGAGGGAAGAGCTGTTCCCTCTTCTTTCTTGTACCACTGCTCCCATCAAGTTTTGCAGTCCAAGATAACTAATTACTCAAGCCGCAAATTGCGAAATAGTAAATCTGCTGCTGAAATCACGACAATGCAAACCCAATTAGTTTTATGTAGAATATTTTTATTATTGCATTGACAGTCTCTGTTAAATTAACCTGGGCAGTCCAAGTACATTCCCAAGGAATAAATCTTTTTCCTACACTACACAGAGTAATGGGAGGAGGGAAACAAACTCAGAAAACCTTTATTTTCTGTTGAGTAGATAAAAGTTTAAATTACCAATGTGTAAGGTACAGTAAGATATGTATGCCATAGGGAATGATATGATATTCAAAATTATCTGTAATTCTTTTCTATGGGATACTTACTAGTGAGTAGACTCTGACTGCTGGACAGTCCTGTTATGGGGTGAGGAGAGTGGCTGGGAGATATTTCTCTGGGACTGCAAGCAATTAATACTTACTGTAGTGCTCTTTCTTGTTACGTTTGCAGACTTGGAGCCACTGTCTGTTAAGAGATTTATGAATTGCCCTGGTTCCAGGCTCTTCCAGCAAGTGGTGCTTCAGGGAGCCAAGAAGCAGAGCTGGAAAGGCAGGAGTGTGCTCCATGGCATTTCCTCTCCATGTGTTTATAAAGCATGGTATGGGAAGAAAACACAAACAGATCATCAGTGCTTATGCTGAAGGCTTAAAAGGCACGTGGGCTGTAGCGTAAGGCTGCTTTGTGGGTGCTGAGCTGTGTGTGCAAGTAGAGGAGACAGAGATACTTGTGGCTCATAGCTTTGTGGTTGAGGTTTTCAATTTCCTTTGCCATATGCCAGCCAGGCTTTAAAGATGGCCAACATATCTTCAGGTATAAAAGTGCACCTACACATATGTGCATCTAAATGCAAACATGCACGCTCGTGCATACACATACAGAAACTGCTGGGAGAAACAGGACTGACTCTGTCTTTTATAAGCCCTTTGTTCAGCTGCTTATGCCATTGCCAGCCTGCCTCTAAGGCTGCCGTCGTTCCACATTCCCATGGCCAAACCCAGTGTGGTCTGACTGCTTGCACTATTTGCTGTTTGCTGTGACAAGGTGGTGCTAGATGGATTTTGGCCACTCCAGTCCATGGCGTATGCCTGTTAAGGGACACAGAAGAGTTCATTCCTTTTGCTCAAGCGATGCAAAAACAGTTAAACATGATTCAGAACTGGGGCTGGAATTCTCAATTGTCTTTTACAGCCTCAAGGATTTGTGATTTGTGATCTGTCTCCTTAAGATACTATGCAAATAGAAAGATGGAGAGTTCTGGTATGAAAGGATGAAATACACTTTCAGCTGTTTTCTCATGTTTTGGAAGTAGAAGCACCTCTTCTATCAATTGAGAAACAGAGTTCATACAACTTGTTCACAAAAATTAGGGGATTTGCTTTAGAAGATTTTGGATTTTTCATTGCTAGTCATCTGTCTGACAAGATATATCTCCTTTTTCTGTCCATTTTCTGTCCATGATTTTTTTTATGGTTTATAATAATCAGTCGCACTATTTCTACATACAATTTTTGCCGTAAACAAGTAATGCTTTTCCACTGCTCCCAAATTCGTAATTTCCACCACTGGATTGGTGAATAGCCTTTTCTGCTAAGAGGTTGGATGTAATTGTTCCCTAACCAAAGAATTTAGGATTCTTCCATGTACTCAGCACTTTCATGCACACACATGCATGAGCATACACAAACATATACACAAATGAATATATAATTTACCATCAAAAATGAGCCACACTGCTAAATTCAGCACCAGGTATGTTTTAATGCACCATCCTCTCTTGCCTCAGGGGGATTCTGAAGCACGGGTTTAGATGATCTATGTTCAAGTGATAGAACCAGGAAAAATTTGTCATCATTAAACTAAACAGGACCTTTGTCTTGCCTTTGACTCCACTGAGGACAAATCCATGTTCCCTTCTAAAAACAACAAGCAAAAGCAGAGTCATATGCAAATAATGACAGAATCATTGCAGATTGCTTGGGAGGGTGGCTGTAGGAAGTGGGGAATGTGTCCACAAGCATTGTTTGCTGCTGATGTTCACAATGCCCTTTGTCTTCTGCAAATGTTATTGCAATTAAACACTGACTCAGCCAAATGAAGTGAATCAGACAGTGCTTATTTACAAGAATATTTGGAATGAATAATATTTGGCATAATTTCTGAAGGCTGACAGTTGTGAAATCTCTTCCTTTTACAGAAGGCCTTTGCATCTCCTTATAATATTCTTTTACTGGCCAGCCAAAATATGAACTTGTTTCCCCAGCTAGGAAAGCAGCATTCTCCAGCACATACGCATAGGTATGTGAGTATAAGCATAGTATACTTATGTATTGCTTATAGGAAACCCACAGGATGAAATGCATATCTGTCTGAGGTGTACACCAGACTCCCTTCTTTGCCTGTCACAGAACATGTCTCCAAGCCAGCACAGAAATCGAATTCCCAGGACTGAAGATAACATTTTTCCCTGTTTAACATGGAGCTATAAAGTGGATTCCACAAGAGGGAGCTAGAAAACAAATAATCTTTCATGAAGCAGGCTATTAAACTCTTTACAGAATAAAGTGGAGGACGTGCTACATGTGTCCCTTATCAACCAGAAGAGGTGGCTGAGTTGCTGTTGCATCAAGTCTCTCACTATGATGGCTCTTTGTTGTATGGGAACATCAAGTCGTGCTTCAGGGCTTTGTAAAGACTGACAAACGATTCAGTCCAAGCGTCTTTCTGGTGCCCCTGGGATTGAGCAGCCCTGTAGGCTGTGTAGACCATGGTCAGCACTGTCCTTTCAAAGTCTTCGTTCTTCAGGGCCCTTGGGTAGGAAGACAGCCTGCTACTCAGCCTGCGGATCTCTGTGATGCTCTTGGGGATAATCTCATTGCAGATGGTGTCAAACTCAGCAGCTTTCCTCAGTGAAGCGAGCTCCTCATCTTTGATGGAGATCCTTTGACGTTTGTCAATGTCAAGCTCAGCTAAAAGAAACTGGTACAAAATCAGAACACAGAAAGCTATTTATCTTCTCCAAGAGACTCTAGGCAGACTAAATGTGAATTAACGACATGTCCCTAGGTCTTTACTTTAGGTCAAATGGAGACAAAACTCTCATTGCACTGGATGGAGGTGGGGCAGACCAGAAAGTATGTGAACGTTGGACTCCTGTGTTATCTACCTGAGAAAATTAGAGACAGGGTATGGGAAAAGGAGAGAGGAAAAGGAAAAAACAGGTAGTCTTCTGTTGTCCAAAATAGGCATGGGTTGCTGCTGGTGCCATGTGGGGATTAGAGAGGTGGAGACAGCAGCACAGCTGGGAAAGGCCATTTACCCTGCCAGGGTTAGCAGTGGTGGCCTAGCTCTGTGTGAGAGAGCACATGAGTGGCTTCCCATCCCATCTCCCTTGTTTGGACATCCAATCCCAGTTCCTCAAAGTGTGGGATAGATAGATTTGACCCACACACCTTCTTTCAGAGACATGGTTTAGTAGTGGACAGGTATGGTTGGACTCGATGGTCTTAAAGGTCTTTTCCAACCATATGTTTCTAAGATTCAGGTGGACCACTTTCCCTTAGCTAGCCATAAGATATTGTTCCAGACTATGTATTACATCTGCAGTCTCTACTGCTGTGAAAGAGGGGCCCTGAATCATTCTGAAGTGGAACAGTCATGCCCTTGCAATCACTTTGCTGTGACTGATACCTGTGGCTTTAATGACTTGAACAAATAATTTTGGACTGAGACTTAGACCAAAGAGTTTAAATGTATTTCGTTGTTAATATGTAACTGACCTGGAAGAAAATTGTGTTCAGTGGAAAGCCATTTGCTCTGGTTTTCACTTTGCCTGTCAATGAGCTAGAGCCAACATTTGAGGTGCTGCAGGCAACTGCTGCCTGCTTAAGTGCTGAAAGAGCCATGTTTGTCATATATATGCCTGTTCCCTCTCTTTTGGTAAGCTATTACATAGTCAGCAATGGGTTTACTCCTGGGATGAGTAAAAGTGACATAAAGACAGATAACAGGTAACCCCAGTGTGGACAGTAACCCCAGTCTTGGTTAGGGCTTAAGGTACCACCGGCTCCCATATACTGAACCTCATAAAGCAGGACCACATCTTCCAGCGAGTTTTGTAGCACTGGATTAAGGAAGGCAGCTGAGGACCTCTTGAATCGCTGAGCAGCTGGGAAAAGCATAGCTGGAAAATAATAATGGGAAAAGAGAGGTTCTATAAGGTGGCAAACACTGAAAAGAGGAAGCACCTTTCAACAGTAGATTCAACCAAAGAACTGCTTGTTGCAAAGACTTATTGTGCAGTATGAATTCTCACTGTAAATAAAATGGGCGGCATGGACTGCTTTGACTATAGCCTATTGAGGATGGAGGTTAGCTCTTTGCCCTGTATCTATACAGCATCTAACACAGAGTGGTTTATAATCCAGACCTGGGACTCTGAGGTGCAGCCACAGTGTCAGGAATAATAATAACTGTAACATCAACATTGCCTGAAATATATGTTCTTCTCCTGGCTCTGCAAGGGGAAATCAATACTGACCCTCAACACCCCCTACTTTCTTCAGGCCATTCTACTGCTGATGCACTTCTAAGACCCTACATTTCTCCTGGTTTCAGCTGTCTAAAAGTCGATCTCTCCTTAGTTGATAGAGACAGCTCCTCCAGAGAGTAGATCACCTCATCTGTCCTGGGCATATATGGATGGAGCGACTTACCCTTTGGAGATGCCTATGTCTATTCATCAAGCCTGTTACCAGCTTAGAGAAGACAGCTACATTCAATGAGGTGAATCCCAATTTTTTATGACTTTAATACTTCACAGTGTTATAGCTAGAAACAACAAAGTCTGCTAGGATCATGTATTTATTCACCACTGTGAAGTGTACTACAGCTATAGGCTCAGGGAAATGAGAGAGAAAACATATGTATAGCCCCTGAACTCAGCACCCCAGTGAGGTAGAGCATTTGTGGAATCAATGACCTGTACAGCCTGGAGTATACAAAACATCTGATGCTACATCACACAACACCTAAATGCTTTGAGTTACTAACTAGGTTACTAACTAGGTACTATTAGAAGGTGTCAGTTCCTTTCAGAGCAGAGGGGGGAAACCTTGTTTTGTTTAACAGATGACCTTGCATCTGATTCAGATGTTGATGTTTAGGTAACCATAGTTTGGATTTGTTGGAATTTTTCTAATACTCAGGAATGGGAAAGGGTTTTTTTAATGGTGTGGTTATGTGATTATCAGTGTATTTCCTCATAAACTTAGCTTCTCAACTTTAGCTGTTGTTTACCAACAGATAAATTCAGAAACTGGTTAAAAAAAGGAAAAAAAAACCCCCACCTTCTGCAAGGCATAGACTCTGTAGCCTAAATGCAGTTCTGTTTCCTGCCAACTGTTGACTTTGATAAAGTTTGACTTGTTAATGATATTTAAGTTCAAGTAATGCAAGGAGAAAGAAGCCAGGCCCTCAGAGATTGTGTTAATTAGAACCTTTACTATCTAGCATAAGGAAAATTAATTGGGATACTACTAGGTATGAAGGAATTCATGCTTGGCCCAGGAAAGGGTATTTTGGCCTTGAATTAGCTAGGGAATATAGTATAAGTAAAATAGCTTGCTGAATTGCAATAAACATACGACAGCTGGATACTACTAACTGTTAATGTATCCTGCAGGGATGGTTTTCAGGCATTTTGGTAAGACACCTACAGAGCTAGGTGCTTCCTATTGCATTCATGTGAGCTTAGATTAAAACTTGTTTAAATAACCAAATAGTACTTGCAGGGTATGTGACTAAAGCCTGAAGGAATGAATGCACAGAGTAAAAGAACAGAGGTGTTGAAAAGAACTCAGTCTCTGCAGTAGCCTTTCCCCAGCATGATGCCTTTACCACCCAAACATCTTCTCTGGCCCAGCCAAGGAGGCGGTGAGTTTGGGAAAGGTCACAAGCTGCCTGCAGGTTCTGCTCTGTGGGAGCGTTTGCCTGGCTGACCACTGGCAACTGGGGCTGTACCTATTTTCTGCTGCTGCTCCACCACTGATATTCACCCTTCTTGCTCAGAGCTTTGCTGAGACACACTGGAGCTATTCCATCTTTCGCTCTTGGTAATTTGAGAATGCAATTGAGTGCATGTGAAGCACTTGAAACTTCAAGCACTAATTGCTGAGTAATTAAAACTTTTATTACTGGGCAATTAAAACTCTAATTACTAAGCAGCTGGCAGAAATCCAGTCCATAATGATGACAATTCATTTTTATCTCTTTTAGATGCCCTTTCAGTGGAAACAGCCTCAGAGTGCAGATTACCTCTACATATGCAGATGGTTTACATCTCAAATATTCCCTGAGCCATGGAAAAGGTGTCTATGGCACCTTGCTTCAGTGCTGTCGTGCTTATTGCCACCACACCAATCTCTTTTAGCTTTCAGGCCAAGCTCAGATTCCTTCCATGGACCTGAGCTAGGAGCCATCAGGTTCAGCCCATCACCACTCACTCAGAAAAGCCTCACACAAAAATGAATGTCATATTATCGATTTGGTACCAACCCATTTGCTGAATCACAGGTAACACCTCAGAAAGCAGCCCGGTTTTCCTCCCCAGCTGTTCCCAGGATGACAGGGATTAGATTAGGAGATTCAAAAGGACAAGGGCCTGAGCTGCTATAGCGTGAGAAAGGACTTGTTTGTGTATCAGAAGCATGCCATCCTCTGTAGGGACCAGGCTAGCACTGACTCCCTGATCTCATTATCTGGTTCCCAAAACACATCAAACTTTGTTACAGTTCTTAGAGACTCTACTCAGAAACTCTTTCAGAGCTCATTTGTATTTGTCATGGTGATCTGATCCACATTTTATTTCAGTCCTTCCCTTTCTTTCTGCACAGTAGTCAAATCCTTCCTCCATCACTCCCTTCACAGTCCTCTCCATGAATTCATGTGTTCCTCTGAGATCATGTGAGCATCTAGAGCAAGCACTCTTTGATTTTCATTACACTGGCTTAACACACATGTAAGTTAAGCACAAAAGCTGAGATACAGAAAGATCTGCAGTCGGTTTCTACATTTAGTGAGTGCAAATTCCACTTGAAACTTTTTTGCTGACTTTACTTCTTCCTGCATTTACTTCTGTGTCTGACATGACAGACAGTATCAAAAACACAGCAGAGGACTATTACTGTGATTTACCATCTCTTTACTATTTTCTTCCCCAAGGTAGTTCTCTGTAAAGCTATCAAGCAATTATTTCACAGGAGGATGCAGAGCAATGTGTGTCATTTTATGGTGAAGTTTCACCCAATTCATTTCAGTGGCAGTAACCATGAATGTCTAAGGAGCAGAGATCCCTAATCAGTATTGACAGAGAAAGCCCAATCCAGTGGTCTTTGAAGTCAGTGGAGAGACTCTTATTGATTTATTGTTTTTAATTCTCTTACAAACGTGCCAAGACATCTCCAATGAAGATGTGGGTACTTCTGTCCTAAGGGCTGAACAGTCACATAACAAAAAGCTTATGATCCGCAGAGATGAGGTAGGAAAAATAAGGTTTTGATTATCCTTACTGAAAATGTTTTCTATTATATATCTGTGTACTACCAGGCTCATCCTCTCCCAAATCCCTTCTTCAGAGGGGCCTTAGTGGTGCTCCCTGATCTGACCTCCCTTGCTGCCCACTGAGGGCTCAGGTGGATGGGAAAAGTGTGCCTGAGCGCCGCCACCCACTGCCAGCCCACCTTGCCCAGCCCTGAACAGCTTCATCCAGTGCCCTGGAGTGCATCACTACTTGTGCCGGAAGATGGTGGGCTGCCAACAAGTCTAGTCCTAAGGGTGGCTAAAAATACCCATCAAAATGTGGCGCAGGAGTCCCTGTTTTCTGCACCGCTCTGTGCAGGAGCCCATCCAGTCTCCTACAGCTCTGTGGAATCACCTCCATTGCTCCTTAAGGACTACCCAGGTTTTTAAACAAAAGCTGCAGCCGTGTTTGCCAACTCGTTGGCCTGCTTCTAACTATTCAGCTTATGACAGTTTAGAAATTTCTTACAGTTTAAATGTAACATCACATCTGAGGCTGACAATAGTTTTATTTTAAAAATGCCAGAATTTTCTAGACCTCATTAGCCACATGATAAACATTTGTGATCCTCTCCCAGGTTTTCCATGCAATTTCACTGGTGAGGGTACAGATGTTTGATTTTGCTTTCCAGTCCACACTCCTGCTCATGATTTCCCAGCTGCTGCCTGTGTTGCTCAATAAGTACAGTGCATAGCTGCCGAAGTGCTCAATTATTTGTGTATCATCAATGGTCTTTTCTTCTCCTACGAAAAGGTATGAAGCCAAGAGCATGAATTAGGCCCTGTGCAGGCCATTGCTCCAAAGCATGTATGGCTTCCCAGGGCTCCAGAACTTGAACACAGTTTAACTGCGGTCATGAGTCAGTACGAATTATTTTGATTGACTTCAGGGGCATGAAAAAGGGCTACCTTGTTGCTTTAGTGGGATGCTTTTCATGAAGGACAGGAGGAGCAGAGGAACAAGAAGGACCTGTGGGCCAAAATTCCTGATGCCCTGCAAGCAAAACAAAGGAGAGTTGCCTGTTGGCATAGGGAAAGGCAGTGGCCCAGCTGGAGTTGCTTTATAAGCCAAATTCAGTCAGCAGGCTGCTAGTTGTGTCTTCCTGTCTTAAATTACTAGGACCTGACCGTAAAGAAACTCATGAAAATAATTTCTTTGGGCATCTCTGGCCTCCTGGGACCAGCTCCCTATTTCTGGGAGTGCAAGACAGGGAGCGGTTGCACAGGCAGCAGCAGCTCCTGGTCAGTGATGGACCCTAAAAAGGCAAATCAATCTCTGAACTTCTTTATGTGTTTGCCAGCAGTTGTAACAGGGATTAGTAGGGCTCTGCAAAACCATACCCTCTCAGACCACCACAACCATCTTTTTACTACAAACTCACAACCACCCCTTAGTAGTGAGGAACTGCTACAAGCTCAGCAGCACATCCAGCTTGATCCCTCACAGTAGAAGTTTCTCTTCCCTGCTCAGAGCTTTTGAAGTCAAGATTCCTCGACCTCAACAGAAAGAAGTTAATGCATCCCAAATTATAATGACAGCAATTTCTCACTATTTGGCTTTATCTTATTGATAAAGAAGGGAATAAAAATGTTTACTACACGATA